TCTAGCAAAGATGGTCCGTGGCTGATGGCCTATGGCTCATGGCTCCTGTTTATTGTGGGTGCACCTATACAATGTACCCATTCTACAGGATGCCTGACCCTGTGGAAGAATCGGAAGCATTCAAGAAAGCTAGGGATCGGTGGTCATCGACGGGCTCACCATCCATTGGCTCTTCCGCAGTTTGTGTGCCGACTGCGTCAGCAGACATGTCTTGCCACGATGGTTTGCCAACTGCATCATCGTCAGAAGTGTCTCCCAACGTTGGTGTGCCAACCATAGAGACCCCTCAACAGGACCAAGAAAACATCATGACGGTTAGTGCCGGAGCACTAACCGCATTGCGGTTTAACTGCTCTTAAACCAAGTGATACTGATTATTTAAAGATTGCCCAAAGCATTTAAAAGTTATGCTACTTCATGAATAGGTAACCTTTGGATGGTCGATAAAAGTGCGAGTGATGAGTTATGTTATATTTTTATGTCAACAGCTGTTTTGGAGCGTATTGCGAAGGCGGTAGAGCGCATTGCTGACGGGTCGGGAGCAATCAATGGCGTTCTGGACGGACCTGCAGATAATACCGTTGGGCCTGCTGCCATTCAAATAGTGGCAACTGAACCTGCTGAACCTGCCGCACCAAAACCTGCTGCACCAAAACCTGCTGCACCTGAACCTGCCGCACCAGAACCTGCTGCACCTGTCGATAATGCAGATAATTTTGACTACGGAGTGGGAGCATTGTCTGACAATGACAGCGAAGGTGAATATCTTTGCTATTAACTGGAAGTATTGTGCATGCTGAATCAATCTATCTTTCTAATCTATCTATCAATCTAACTTTTTTTTAAATTCGCAGCTGATGTGGACCCTGCCACAAGATGTGGATGCTGTGAAGTTCAAACAACCTGCTCCACACTTTCCATTTCCTTGCCCTCATTGCAAGAAAATGGTAAAATGGGTGCTCATGCTAAAATTTTAAATTATGTAAGTGGTTTTGTAGTACTCTTGATTCGTACTTCCCATTTTTTA